TGCGGGGATCCCCATTCCCCACGGGGAACGGCAGCAATAGCAATGGCAGCAGATGGCTTCGTAGCAGCAGCAAATCGCTCTAGCGGCAACAAAGCAGATGGATTCGGTCCGACAACAGGCCAGCGGCAGAGCAGATTCATACAAGCAACGAATCACTGAATATCATTCACTTTTAGCAAATTCATACAAGTTTAAGCACCAAACATCAGGAAATTGAAGAATATGAAACAAAAACACCCAAGGCGGAAATTTTGGAGAAAGGCAGATCCAGATCTGAAGGAGGGATCCCACGATCGGAGAAAATGGAGAAAGGGGGTTCTAGATGGGAGAAGAATCAGGTGATGACCGGTGATGTAGGTGGAAGCTATTGATCGGAGGAAAATTTTGAGAAAAGGGTTCTGGATGGGAGAAGAATCCAGCTTTTTCTTTCTTTTTTTTTTTTTCGCCGTCTGCAGCCTTTTTTTTGGTGTGGCTCCCCCCTTTTAAAGAGAAAGGAAAACTAGGGTTTTCTGGGTTTGGGTTTGGGTTTTAATGGGTTAATTTGTGAAAGTGGTTATTGGGCCCAATATTTGGGTTTGGGTTAGATTTATTGATTTTTAACCAATAAAATTTTTTTCACATATTTTGAAAGAAAATTTTTTTGCTATAACCTTTTTTTATTAATTAGACCCATTTAATAATTTTTTTACTAAACACAATAAAGTTAATAATTTAATAAAATTTTATAATTTTTTATATAATATTTTTTAACTTTTTATATAATTTCTTTCTAACCATATTCTTAGTAAAAATGTTGCTAATAAAACTGCCACATAATAAAACATGGCTTAAAAATTTAAATACGTACCATGTTGAAAAGGTTGAGGATATTGCTATTGTTAAATTTGTTAAGATTATCAATTTAATTGTAATTTTATTAATGCGGGTCAAAGTAATTGTGTTTTTTTAGCAAATTTTCATCACACGTGTTTCACCAAATAAATAATTTCATGGTTTGAATTTTCTAGTCTTTGCAGTCAATGTCACCGAAACAAGACAAGGAAAGTAAAGCTTCAACAATGGAGATGGATTCGACAGTAGCTACAACAGAGGAAATTGAGAAGGTGAGATGAAGGTGAGAGATGGGTGAGCTATAGACAAAAGATTGAGAGTGAGATCGTGAGTGAGAGTGATGAAAATTAAAATAAATTAGGATTAAGGTTAAATGTAGGGGAATTGGGTGGGTTGGGTTGGGTTGGATAGTATTGAGTTAAGTTTAATTGTAATTAGATTGGATTTGGGTTTGGATTTGGGTTTGGGTTTAAAGAATAAATTAATTTTAAAATAAAAACTTTTTTTTTTTGGCGGGGATGGGGATCCCTGTGGGACCCCATGGGGCGGGGAAAATTTCGCGGGGAGAAAATGGTCCCTATCCCCGCCCCACGGGGAGGAATATTCCTCCCCACCCCGTCCCCGTGACGGGGATCCCCTCGGGGCCCCACGGGGAGCGGGGAGAATTGCCATCCCTAATCATCCCTCATTACTCCGGTCATCCCCCATTGCTCCGATCATCTATTACCACTCCAATCACCATCTACTTCTTCCCCAAACCTCCTCTCTAATAGAACTCAAATCTGGTTCCTCGCACAATAATAATGACCAATAGATCTAATTCAAAAAATCAATTCCTTTGCAAATTATACCAAATCTATAAAGAAAAATGTAAAAAACACAATATCCCTTCAATCAACACTAACAGTAACTAAATCTGGAAATTCAAGCAATCAGAAGCCACACAAAACTCTAAATCCCATTCAAGCATATGACTGCAAGCCAACAAGGAAACAGAACGAAAAACCCAGGCGAGTTTGACTCAAACCCAAACGTCCTGGGTTCGAGGAACCCAGGCGTTGGTGCTGGGTTCCTTCGAACCCAGTGGGGAGGGGAAGGAGAAAAGGAAAGAGAAGGAGAAAAAAGGAGGAAAGGAAAGAAAAAAGGAAAGAAAAAAAATTTTATTTATTAAATTATATTTATGGTGTCAAGTCACAATATTTTTATAATTAAAAATATCACATCACTTGTTTTATTTCCAAGTAATATTTAATATTAATAAAAATTGAATCTGTTAACAGGAAATTTTGCCATGTCGGCACTTACTTGACGAAAGGACAAAATTGGTTCCAAAAATTAAAGTTCAAGGATATTTTTAGTATTTTTTGAAGTTTGAGGGTAAATTTAGTCCAAAAATAAAAGTTGAGGGACTGAATCGAGGATTTAACCATAATTGAAGTACAAGGATCAACATGTGAAGTACAAGGATGACAATGAACATTTTCTTAGCCCCAGGATGGTAATGAACAAAATATCAAAGTAAAAGGATGACAGGTGGTTTTAACCTAGTGTCTAACCAATGGACTCCGCATCGATCCTGCTGCCAATTTTGCACGTAGGCCTAGTGATGCGCCTGAGCTCCTGTCAAGCACCACATTTGCATAATAAAGTGTTTTTGTTTTCGTTTTCTTTTTTTTTTTTTTTTGTTTTTTTTTTATTTAAAG